GTATTGTTCCAGCTCCATTATTCAGTGACTACCCGTGATCAGCCATGATACCATCCCCCTGTGATCACCCTGGTTGGTTGTCGAGCTGGGATGCTGGACAGGAGCTACCCTCGTCACGCTTGGAGCACCACCCGCTTTCGATGGCACTGCACAGGCGGGACTGCCAAGCGTGTTGGCACTGCTCGGTATTGTTCCACTACACCTGATGGAGGCAACAGTCCCTCGATGGATCCTGCACCTGCCGAGCATTGTGCTTGTTGCATGGGGATCGCTGCGATCGCTTGGATTCGTCGCTCGCATGACTTTGCCAGGCTGCGCTGCACTTTGGAGAGCGGCTGTTACTCCCGCCAATTTATGGCAAGGTCGCTTCCATCCCCATTTCAAGCAGGTTGCAACTGTACTCGAATCGATGTCTGGGGCCAGAATGCATAACCCACACCGCGGTGCCACACCCACGGTGCCATTGCTGACTATGAAAGGGCACCGCGCACGCAGAGAAGGCAACAGCAAACGAAGCACCTTCTCCGCCACGCCAGGCACTCAGTCAGCTTTCAAATCTGCAAACTACAAGCGGTCGAACAAGGAGTGAAAGTACGTCCTCTCTCCCCAAAAAAAATCCACCCCGCTTCAACAAATCATCCCCAACCCCCTCTCACTTCAGCGAGTACGACTTCCCGGAGAACGCCGCGAACTTGCCGTCCTTCCCCCCAGGGTCGTCCCCGCCCTCCTCACCGCCGCCGCCGCCGCCGCCGCTCTGTTGTCCGCCCGTGGACTTTGCGTTGACTTCCGGCGGCCGGGCCCCCTCCGCCGCCCCCTCCCGGCTCAGCTTGTCCAGCAGACGGTTGCCCAGCGACACCATCTTGCCCGCCTTGGGCCCTCGGGCCCCGGAGGTGGACGCCTTCCCGTTGGCTTCCGGTTCCGGCACCCTGGTCAGTCCCCGGTTCAGATTGACCGGCACCGGGACGCTCGTCCCGGTGACCTGCTTCCCATCCAGCCGCACGGCCGCCCCGCTGAAGGCCATGAAAGTGTTGGGGTCCGGTCCCCGGGGCCCGTCGTCGTCCTCCTCGGGCGGGCCCCCGGGCCCGGGCGCCGGGCCCGGGGGACCCCGCGCCGCGGGCTCGGGCTCCTTGTAGTCCTTGGGCGCCTCGAAGTCGACCTGGCAGTCCGTCTCGACGACCGAGATGGCCGGGCCCGGGCGCGTCTCCTTGACCTCGATCTCGTACTTCTTGTCGTTGTAGTTTACCACGAAGCAGTCGCCTGGCGGGCAGGAAATGGGGGAAGTTAATGTACAGAGGGGCAGCTCGGGTACAGGCCTCGACAGGGCAGCTGAAGTGCTGGAGGAACCCATCCGTTCTGTCGAGTACAGGCGGACCGTTTTGGTTTGCTGGCGTCAAGATGTTAATGTCCAGCACCTAAAGGGCAGTTCAGGAACGGCCCTCGCAGGGGAGGCTCCACAGTACAGCCCTCGAAGGGGCGGCCAAAGTACTGCTCCCCGGACAGCAACCCCACCCTCGTTGTCGAGTATAGGCGACCGTGTTCATTTGTCCACATCCTGAGCTCCTCCCCTTGAGGCTCAAGCACTGCCCCATTTCCCTCCATTTAAACGGGCAGCCAAACCACAGGCGCAACCCCCCCATCGCCAACAGTTTCTGCAGAGGCGCTCCGTTGAACAGTGCTGGGCAGCCAGCCCTGCAGCGTCCGCCAGAGCGGAGTACCTTCAGCCTGGCGACGCCGGCAGGAATGATCGAGCATCCGCTTCAAGCAATTTTGGCACATATCCTCAACTGGTTCCGTTTGATAAGGTTTCTGGCAGAGATTGGTCCGAGGGTATGGCTTTGCCGGCAGCGGGGCTACGCACTCACTGCAAAACTCACTTCCGCTGCTGGTTTCGGGACCTTCCCAACAACGGGGCGGCAGCACAACAATCGCCATTTGGCCGCGCCAGTTCTTCAGACCACAGACCACAATGGCAAACCAGCTGCAGCAGTTCAACAACGGCTCTGACAATGGGTCAACAGCAACAACACAATCTGAACCAGGCGTCCCAACAAGGTCCAAGAACGGTCCGAAGGGTCCAGCAACGGGTCGCGTACCCATTGTGGCGGAGTGTCTGAAGGCATTGGGGTGCACAGGTGCCGACAAAACTCAGGTTGCCAAAACTGTGGACAACAGGAGTATCAGCACATGCTCTGGAAGAACAACATAGATTTACTCACAAATACAAATGGAACGACTTGCTGGCCATCACTATCAGTATAAATTGAGATTGGGTGCTGTTCCAAGTACAAACTACAATTTCTGCATACAAGAGCAAGGCACAATAATGTGGTGTTTGTGCACGACCTGCGACAATCTCAAGGCACGGTGCTTATGGCATGAGCACAACTATCTGAGGGGAAGGTGTTGTGGCCCGGGATGTGCACCATGGTATGCATTCTACCCCCTTCCCATGATTCAACAGAAGCGTTGTACTTGCATTCGCTAAATGCCTATGCCCCATTGCATTCACTTCCACGGCTGGCAGAGGATCCATTATGCTGGGTTCCAGGAGCAGATAATTGCAGGCAAATTCGCTGCAAGCCATACCGAAATGCAGCAAACTGACAGGTGCCACAGCTTGGGTGCCAACACCTGGATGCCTTTGCCGCCTGACCCACTTCCAAAGGTTCCCCCCCCAAATGCCCCAGCAAACAGGAATTTCCACAGGGGAATGTTTCTTTCACCTCTTGTTGGCACTTTGGCTGCACTATTCAGCAGCAAAGAGTCATGCTCACTGGCGAACAAGGCAACACACCTGGAACTGCATTCGCCAACAGTTCACATAAAGCACTGCACCCAACTTGCAAGTGCTGACAGGCAAAAACTGCATCCATGTCCGTTCCCAGAGCTTGCTGATTCCATCAGGCATGTGGGGAGAACAGCAAGAGGTGATGGTTGGGACAGTGCGGTATCAGGTTTATGACCACAGCAGTGGCGCCTTTCTCCTGAGGAAACAAGAGCAGCCTTGTGCCGTAGAGCAGCACACTTGCCCATGTGAGAGAAGCAACTCTTTGCTCACAAGAGGATGGATTGGGCCACAATCCAAGCCACAGTATGGCTTTGGCAACTTGCCATACTTGTGTGCTGACAGTCAGGGTGGTGAATGGGATAAACAGTCATAGCCGCTCTCCTGGCCTTGATGCGTTTCAACATCAAATCGGTGCCATCGCCTTGCAGCAGTTTATCCGCCATCATGCCCTTGATGTGTCGATTTTACTTGATCTCCTCATTAGATGACACTGGCGCCAACGGGTGGTTGACTTTCCAAGCATTGCAACCGCTTGGCAGTTGGCACAGACTGTTCCATCAAACAGCCGACAACGGGAAACACAGGCAGCTGGACGGCGAGCCCAGGGCTTGGCCACTCACCTACTGACAGCAGTTGTCAGCTACTGCGCAGGCACAGGGACAGAGGGGAAGGGTGGTTGGGGTGAGCGGCGCAACTGTGGTTCCATCAGAGCCCATGTTCAGGGCTCGTTCGAGGCAGCTGGGCCCTTGTCTGCGCCCCACAGCCAGAGCATATGGATGTGACATAACTTTGGAAATTATGTTGTGAACATGTTGTGAACAGGTGTTGTCATTGTATCAGTTATTCACCTGACGTAAAGCAACACCCGAGGGAAGGGGAAGGCACAAGGCGAGAATGGGGATCCAGGACTGGTGACCAACCCTCTTTGCACCAGGCAGCACAGGAGGGATTTCCATGCCCCAGCCAGCCGAGCAACCCACTTCCCACCCTTCTAACAAACCCACCCTTCTATCCGCCACTCCGATCTCGAACAAAAACCTGAACTTGAAAGTCTTGGCAGCGGGCACTGTTCTGGATGCATGAGCGTCCAGCCAAGGTGTGAGGGCTTTCTTCTGCCTTTTGCCAGCAACTACGCAAGTCCCATGCACACCCAGGACCAGTATCGCCAGCTTGGTGCAGGGGCTCTGCTCTGTCACAAGACACAAGCGATGCAAACGAGGATCGACATGCGCGCTCCCAGGCCCAGCCACGGCCCACTCACCTGTTGTCAGGCAAGTGTAAGTCCTCAGGCTCTTCTCGAGCACCGCCTTGGGGTTGCTGATGTCCAGAAAGTCCGACGTCACGGGCTGCAGCTTGCAGTACGTGCCCTTGGGCAGCGACACGTTGCGGAAGATCGCCACGTCTCCCACCTGTGCCAATCCCGCCACACGCCAATCAGCCAATTATCGCCAAACACCGCGACTCGTGGACTCAACCCGTCGGACCGGCGTCCCTCGACGGGAGCAGCCGCGGAGGCGATCAACAGCCCGCGCCGGCGATCGGGACACCTCGCCCCACCTCCGTCCCAACCGCGCGCAGCCCAAAGCTTCCAGAACCATCTCGGGGGCACGGGCACATGGGCCGCGAAGCGCCTGGAAGGCAGTCACCCAAGGAATCGCAATCTCGCCCCCCAGGCTCTGGTCCGAACGCCATTCGCAGCTGCCAGCAGACCACCCCCCTCCCCCCCCCACTTGTCCTCCTGAAGAATCCCCCCTCCTTGCCACTCACCGGCCAAAAGCGGCCACCCAGCATCCCAACTCCACCAGCTTCCCACATCCCATTCCTCCCCGCCGCCACTCTCCGCAAAAACAAGCCCGATCCACGCCTTGCAGATCATGCCCCGCGCTTTTCAACTCCCAACGGCCTTCCCCCCACCCACCCACCCACCCACCCGCCTTGGGCCTCCTGCGCGCTTCGCCTGAGCGGCCGAAGATTCTTCGCCAAATGGCGACAGAACCACGCCACGAAGGGCGCCCCCGCTCTGGGAAACAACGGCGAGACTCCTTTGGACGTCGCGACAGAAGGCCCGGACAAAAACTCTGCAGGCGGCGTGAGCGCGAAACACGTTCGAGCTGCAGAGCCAGAGTCCACGCGCCGTCGCGGCAAATGCCGCGCGGATCCCCCCTCCCCACCCCCCACCACGCACCCCAATTCCGCGCATAAGCAAGTGACAAAATCGATCGAGCCCCTCTCACATGCCACCCACACAAACACACAGGTGCACACCTGCAGCAGCAGTTTGTTCACCAGCCCAAAACGGAAGACGGCCCGCTGCATACTCGCGCAGGAAGGGGTGCTCCATTGTCTGACCCGTGTTTCCGGCATTTTAACACATCTTGACACACGCGCCACCCACACCAACGCCCACACACACAGGCAGAAACACAGGCACAAACACTATTACTTTTTGATCCTTGTCTCCGCACCCATAGCGCTGCAAAGTGGAACAGGGCCGCAGTATACTTGCTCAGGAGGGGGTGCTCCATTGCAAGGCCTGCGGTCCTGGGATTTCAACGCATCTCGACGGCCACCCACCTGCAGCAGCAAGTTGTTCATCATCCAGTGCGGCAGGTACACGTTGCCTTCGTCGGCCACGAACTCCAGCACGCCGCAGTGCGTCTTGCGGCCCGCGCCCGGCGCCTCCACGTGGAACAGCATGGGATACTCCACGTGCAGCGAGGCCAGGCGGTCAAGCGCGGACGCCGGCAGGATGACTTTGTCGCCCTCCTCTGCCCCCGGCTTGTCGAGAAAAGCCATCGGGTAGACGCGGTAGCGCGCCTCGAAGGTGCCCCCCCGGAAGAGGCCGCCCAGCATGGCGCCCGGACAGCGCCGAGCGGTCGGCGGCGGGAACGTCTGGAAGGTTGGGGGAGGGGCGGCCTTGTGGGAATCGGTTGGGCTGTGGCACGGACTGCTTGGAAGCAGGCTCGTGGGCACGGACTTGTCTAAATCTCTCTGGCCTCTCTAAATGCAAATGTAATGCTTGCGGTGATACGCCTGGTTCGGGGTGGGACCAAGTCGGAGGCAGGCACGACCACGGGCTTTGAGACACAGCTGAGGGAACCGAGTTACAGAGATATGTCGCGGACAGGCACGTCCTTTAGTCATACAGCCATCTGTCAATGATGGACCAGTCACTGCCACATCAGCGGTGACACGGAATTGTTGTGAGTTGGGGCCCCAACCTTGGGGGCCCGACGCGTGCGCGTCAATTAGTTTAGGTCGATTAGTTTAGGAAAGGGTGCCTGGCGGCGATCTTCCTGCGGTTGGGCCGAGACAACAACACGGAACCGGCACAGCACGTGCTTGATTTTTTGTTGGTCGTGTCAGCATGTTCTCCTGTAAATGTTTGCTGTCCACGGATTTGTGGTCAGTTGGAGAACCCTACTTTGAAGGCCCAGAGTGCGGGCGTCGATTAGTTTAGGTCCGGAAGCCTGGCGACGACCTTCCGACGATTGGGCTCTTTAGGTCTTTTAAAGTTAATGCGCCGGTCGGTGGTGGCTGTTTCAATTGGGACACACTCCGGCACCGCATGTATGCGAAATATGCAATAAGAGCATAGATCGTGCAGTGTTTGTCTACAAGGCACAGCTTTAAATTACTCAGTTATTCTGCTTTCAATTACTTTGGCTTCCTTTGACAACTGTATGTATGCATAACAGATGGATGGTGAACAGATAAATTGAGCGGATGGGGACCACAACTAAGTTTTTGGCTGTACACATGCCCGTCATCATCTCAAGGGAACAACTTGTCTTCGTAGGCTAGTCTAGTCGAACGATTACAGCCGTCGAAGCGCAGGTGCCGCAGCACCCAATAACGACGCCTGTTTGACGGGTTCATGAGGAGCAACGAGAAAAGAAACCATCCGATGTCCAAGTTTGATGCTTGGGAGAGCGGCTTGGTGCCATGCGCTCTTCGTCACCAAATTCCCGTGGCAGGGCTCGGGTTCGATCAGTGGCGCAATTGCCACTTGTGCCACCAGCGAAAAACATCAGCCCCCAAGCGAAAACACTCCAAGCACGCAACACCCTCTGAACTGGCCCACGACAGCAGCCAGCCAAAGGCAGTATCAGAACTCACAGTCATACGCTGCTCTTACACAGCAGATCATTTCGTCAGGAATAAAGAATCTGTCTGCAAATCATGAATCAGCCCTCGTGACCATCGTCAAGGGCTGCCAAAGCAACCTAGGCGGAATAAAGAGCAGCAACAAGGGTCATGCGAAGCCGTGGGTGAAAACAAAAGCTATTCGTCTGGCTGCAGCCAAACCAGGGCCCAACCTGTCGCCGTCCAGCGGCAGAAGCCCCACAGCTCGATGGGTGCTGGGTGCAATATTCCTTCAGCAAAAAATTGGGACAAACAAACAAGCTAACAAACTATCCAAACAAGGAAACTAAATATCTTCACACTGTGCCAAAGTCCGTCCATCCCTAGGGATTTGCCGTCAATGTTGTACAAAAACACACGCCTCCCACTTTCTACACCAATTTTTGTTCTGTCTGTTGGAGAGCTTTTCCCTGTGCATCTGGCAGAAATGTTGCAAAAGCAAGGAAGACAATGGAGGCAACCAATCTGGGCGTTCACAGCTGCAGAATCTGTAGTTGTGGACAGAGACTCTGTCAGAGTCCATTGTATGCTGTGCTCGTCTGTAGCACGGGCCAACATCCCATCAGAACCACCCAATCAGGAGCCACCACACCGTCTTCAGCATCCAATCTTAATACTGCTGCACCAATACCTTGGGTATTCATTGAACAATCACTGTCACTGGCTTCCTCACTCGAAATGGGCACCTGATGCCTACCTTCTTGCCTTGGCAATCTGTGCTTCTTGGTTGATCGATGCGAGCCAGCTGCGGTGGTCGCGGTTGTGATTGCAGGGGGCGTGGTTCACTGTCTGAGGAGCGCGCGGGCCAGTCGGACGCCCGTCACCGCGACGATTGCCACCACGGCGGCGCCGGTGCACAGCGAGAGGTGCTCCTGCTCAACGGCATCGTCAACGCCTCGCAGCTTGCGGCCCACCCGGCGCAGGAAGTTGCCCAGGCGCTGACCAGCGTTCGCCACGCCCTCGCCTGCCATCTCGAGGCGCTGGCCTATCTGGTCCATCTGGCCATGGATGAAATTGTTCGGCCCCTCCTGCGTGATGTACTGAATGGTTGGAACACTGAGGTTTGATTGGACCACCCACAGACACTGCTTCCTTCTGGAGCAGGAGAGAGCTCACAGATACCTCCTCACATCATATGCAACATTTGTCAACTGAGTCAGGTGAGCAGCCAAAAGAGGTGTGACTACCAAATTTTTGAATTTGCATTGACTGAATAGCGGGTTCATGGAAAAGCCAATAATGCAGTGCGTGGCATCATTTCGTGCCATCGATCCATTCCATAATTGGGTCAACAATTAGCAAAAGCACAGTCATCTTGCACCCCATGGCAAGTAAGGAGTCTTGATCCTACTCAAAAGTTGGGTGGAGTAAAGACAAGCGATGAGGTGCAAACACGGCTGGGACATGCGCAAATGTTGCCAGCCATCACCTTGCGATGGCAAGAGCGGCGTGGTACAACATTGGGAATGAGATTGTGGCAGAATGTCTTGAGTCTTGCTCTGTGGGTGTTAGTGGCATTGTTGTAAAGCATACCATAAAGACGACCAAACATGTCCCAAGGGACTCAATCGCTGATCATGGGAAGGATAATCAGTGCTTGGCCATTCTCTCAGGTTCGCTCTTTTCCTTTGGGTTGGCATTGTGACGACAAAGGTCGTTGAGGTGAACAGGGGTTTCGATGTATTTTGCAGTGCTACAGGTGCCGCTGCCATGGTGTCACACCAACATGTGTTCAAATCTTATGCTTGGAACTTTGATCGCCCGATCGCAAGAGCTGCTTTGGACAACCTCAAGGCTGTTGACCATACTGCATTTGCTCAACGCTTGTATTCACACCCCAGTCTCCGGCGTCAAAGATCATGTTATAGTATCCTTGGCCAGGTGTTGTTGTCCACCACTTTGTGTACGTTCCATTATGCAAATACCAATGCCACCAATGCTACCAACACCTGGCCAACACAATAGTAAGTATGGTACTTGAAACTTGGGACAGAACATCGAGCACGCAACTCTGTCTTTTCCAACACACAGGTGCCTGAGTATTATCAAAGTTAGCACATGTACAGAATGGATCCACACCAACAGAGCCTCAGTAAGCACTGTCTACCTGTTCAGCATCTGGTGGGCAGATCGCAGCCCTCCTTGCCAGGTCCTGCTCGAAGAAGCACCACACAGATGGAAAAGGAATCTAATGCAAATTCAATGGATCTGAGGCAGAACTCAGGCAAGCTATATCTCTCTACGCCAGCGGAATTGACACGGAAACAAGGTTGACATCACAGGATCAAAACTGTTGAGACACAGTTTCAATCATTTGAGCCCAGATAGGGGCTCTGTGAATTTTTGTGTTCATGTATGGTACTTTGTCAGTACTGGGCAAACATTCGGGCATGCTTTGAAGACAACACCGGGCCAGGCGATCACATGTAAGGCACAGGTGACACAGAGTGTTGGCAAGTGCAGGTGCACTGTAGTCGCCTTTTCTCTCTTCCAAGCAATGCATCAAATTCAAGATGATAGCCCTGCCAAGCATGTCACAGTGTGTCCAACATTGTCAACTTGATGCCCTACAGCAGTTCACACATTTTACTAGGGATAGCTGAATATGATATCCCCAAACCAGCAGTGAACATGTTGATGTGCCCTAACAAGAGAGTCAACAGTCACTTGTTGGGCAATAAATACTGCCTTTCGACCAAAGTCACAGCCCTAACCCCCCTTCCCGCCCGAGTGAGCTTCACGAGCTTCTTTTCCACTGCCAAATGGTGTCAAGAGATGGCAGGAGCGATGGAAATCGACATGGAGATGAAAGCAGAGCTAACAGCTACATGCCCAGAAGGCTATATGCCAGCACCACACTCTCATGCCTAAATAAAACTAAAGCCCCCAAAGAGGTTCCAGCGATCTACATTTTGTGAGTCTAAGACAGGCGTTGCACACGAGATGCCCTAGCTCATCCACGTGAGCATTGCTTGCAACAACTCACCAACATCTGTTCTGCACTTTCCAAACAGCAATTGGGACTTTTGGGACACAAAGCAAGTGCATGGGAAAATGTAGATTGCAAGTGCACCATCACATGGACAGCCCAGTGCACACAACAAGAGATGTGAAAGCCAATGCGAACACCCCAACATATAAACATGCTGAAACATCCACACACCCAAGCATGATAAAATGTTGATAAAGGCAAGTCTTAGGCATGCAAAACATACACCCACCTGCCGCAATGACGGAGTGTCTATGAGGCCCCTCAGCTCTGGTTCCTGCTCAAGCGCTTGAAGGATTTCGTATTGAAGTGCTGGGCGATTCAGCTGTTGAAACACAGAGCGACCAGCCCGTTAACAATGCTGAAGCCTCTGGAGTAAAGTCCTGGTGGGCCACAACGCAGGTGACACAGGTCTTGGTTGTTGTCTTCAACCTTGGGCCACCGGTATTCTCTTTCATCTTGGTGGTGCTGGGTTTTCAGTGCTGCAGTGTCGTGGAGCGCAGCTAAGTTCTTTCAAGTGGTTGTCGAAGACGCCAAAACCATGTGAATCGTTGCACTGAAGCCCGCCGGGGCAACAAGCCTATTTCAGATGCATTCTCCGGTGGTGCAAAGTACTGCACAGTGCTGCGAACCACATGCCAGTGTGCTTTCTTCCCCAAGGCTGGTGCTACAGCCTTTGCCACCAAACAAATGATCTACACTTGTGTGACAAAGAGGGGCAACTGCGTGTGTGAGTTTGAAGGCAGATGTGAACAAACAGCACTGCACTGAAAATTGTTGGGGCAGGGAGGGGACCTGAATGTGCAAGACTACACAAGAAACCAGAACATGGACAACATATTGCTTACAGAACGTACGTAACAACAAACTGATGCATGAACATTTGAGGCTGACAGGCAATGTAACCATACTCGCAAGCCACCACCTTGGCATGCTGATAACAGAAAGGGTGGGTGCGCATTTGCCCAAATGCACCAAAGGCTGGAGGTAAGGGCCAAGTCTTGCACAGTGACACCTGGCGTTCAGTGGATGACAGAATAGAATTTTGCTGCACACAATGAGAACCCCTTTAAGCACATGTCTCACCATCATTTCTGCCATCCTTGCAAATGGTAAGCACTCCCCGCTGGACAATGTGTCGACTTCAGCACTAACCAGCATGTCCCTGTCAACGATGCTATCGTTGCCAATTTCCTCGATTTCCTCAATTTCCTGGATTTCAGTGTTGGTGATTGCATTGTTGACCGCCAAACTGCTGTCAACGCTTAAATCATTGTCAACTTCTTTAATTTCACTGCAGTTGAGGTTGGTGTCGACAGCACTGCCACAATGACCGAGTGCACAATCGTCAAGTGCTGCAAACCCAATGCAGCTGATTGCGTCATGGACTGCAGCGCATTGATCACGGATGCTGCCATTTTCAATCTCTTCTATTTCAGTGCTGTCAGTGTCCACTTCAGTGCCATCAGTTTCTGATGCCATCAGATTTGCCACGAGCCTGTGGATGCAGAACAGCATTCGTGACATGATTTCCGCACCACCAAGGAGAACATGGCGACACCTATACTCATTCCATTTCATTGTTCTGCTACAGTGACTCTGGTCACTGTTCGCTGATGATTTTCTTTCAACAAAAAGATAACTTGCCTGGCTGCACAGGGAGCCGTCCAACACCCTGTACTGTAGGGTCTGGAGGTTCTCCTGAGGAGATAGACTGGACCAGGCCTTACCCCTAACTGCTACTATGGCTGCGCTGTGCATGGTGATCCGATAATGCTGTGAGGCGGCTTTACCCAGTTGTGATAACAGGCTGGGGAGGCATGCCCTGTATTGGGTTGGCTTTTCTGTCAAGCATCTGTTCCTTCAGCACACTGCATTTGTACTCCTTTGACCACACCCACCCCACACATGACTGGGTTGCTGAAAAGACCTCAATACACAGCACAGACCCGCTGTATCAAAGCAGTGGGTATGGTGTACTTCGCATTGGTTTAACATGAAAACAGCAAGTCCATCTGGAATGGCCACACACAGGCCAACAGGTGTGCGACACTGTCCTGGCTGGCTACAACGCCAATAAACTGGCTACCCTGGCTGACTGGCTTAACAATGGCTACTACACTGCCGCCTGACTAACAACAATGACGAACTGCATATCAACACTATTGTATGAGTGCCATGCCACCCATGCCAGAATGAGTGCACACTGTCAAACAAAAGCTCTCACGTGCTTGGGTGTGCGGCATCCACCCAGGCTCTTACCTGAAATCGTGGTCTATCTAGTGCCTTACGCATCCCAACCCCGAAAACCAAGCTACCAAAGAAACTGCAGCTTCAGCAGAACCGCTACCTGGTTAACCTTACGTTGCTTTTTTGCAACTGCACGTGCCATGGGAGGAAGGCACAAGCGGTACTACACTCCAATCTTGGCGCCTGGGGCGCCGCCTGCACCGCCAAGCACTCGCCCCAGCAGGTGGAGGGCCGGTGAGATGACCGCAAAGTGCCCCGCCGCCCCCACCACAACAGTCGCGTCCAGCGCTGCTCCAATCCGTTTGCCAAAGCATCGGCATGTCGGCTTCGCCGCGCGCCGTCAGCCACCACGCAGGGCGCTGAGGGACGTTCGAGATTGCATTTCCGGAAGCTCAACTGACAGAAGGCGTTTGAAGGGCGCTGAATCGCACACCCGGAACTTGCCCACCGTGGCACCGATCAGCCACACGCCACATGCGACATGCAACCACCCTGCGCCTCCCCCTTCGATCCCTGGGCTACTGCTGCATCAATGTGCACCGTACGGGAAACAGTTTCGACATTGGGTTTCGCACCAAAGAGGGTCGCCCGCCAAATAACGCGCTCTGTTTCTACTGTGGGCGCGATCCGCCCGGTGAGTCCGCCTTCCAGAACGTGGTACTCAGCGCACCAAGGAAGCGCCGTGGAAGCAACGGCGCGTCGATTGCCCAGGAGGCGCCCAAAACCAGGCGGCGAGAGAATCGCGCAGAGCGGCACGCGCTGTCTCGGAGACACGAGTGTAGGGTCAAGAGCGTCGAGACTTTTTTGAGTCCGCACCGCTCGTTGGGGTCCAAAATTTTGATGCGGATATAGAACTAGGATTGGGAAGGGAGGGAGCAGCAGATACGTGTATTGCTACAGAAAGCCGGACGCCCTTACCAGCCAGCGCGCTGCGCCCCGTCGAAGCAAAGTCTGTCGTGTTTGACGGATCCACGGTTCACGACACGAAGGGCGCGGTCCAGGCCATACAATCACTGGCTGCACCAAATCGATGACTTCTTGCACTAAATCGGTGACTGCTTGCACCAACTCCCTCCACAACTTACCTAACCTAAAACCTAAACTCTAAAAACTAAACCTGCCCTAACCCTAACCCTAACCTTAAAACTCACCCTAGAACTAAATCTAACCCTAAAAATGAGGTTAGTACATAGTGTGCACATGATTTGGTGCAAACAATCACTGACTTGGTGTATGCAGTAATATTATTTCGCGGTCCAAGGTCGTTGCTTGCGCTCTTAAATGCACTTGGAACGGGATTTGATAAAATGACGTCATTTTAAATTTGTGTGGCCTCAGTTTCGGCTGCTTCCAATCCGTTTTAGTGATATTTGCAGATATTACAAATGCTTTAAAATATAGTTTGTAGCGCGGCGCTCAATTCTCGCCACATTTTGCCAGGGACCGGGCCGCTCCGCTCCTCGGTCGCTCGCAGTCGCCCGGCGGGGAGATGCCTCAGGCATCGATCCCCCTGCGCCCGGCTCGGAGATGCTGGCTAGGCGCGCGTAGTCAGGGCGCTCGCTCGTTCGTTCCGCGTGGTGGGCCCAGGGTACACGGCCTGCGTTGAGCCTCGGATGAGGCAGTATGGTGTGCGGTCAGCGAGGTGGGGGGCGCCGCGGAGGGGACGCGCCCGGAGTGGGCAAGGATTAGTCACAAATGCGAGAAACGGAATCTGGAATTACATAGTGGCTGGTGTGGTTTTTGGCTCGATGCATGGGTGATGTGCCTGCCGCGGCGGCCAATCCGGCCGGAATGGCCTCCTCTGCCGAATGACGGCGGGCGGTCTGGGGCACTCGCTTCCTCGGAGTGCGCAGTGTGGGCCCAGGCCTGTGAGCGGCCGGGCGCAGGGCGGCAGTGTGCGCTATAGGTGCACGACGCCGGTGCCGCTCGCGTGTGCAACCGCGCAGAGGCGAGTGGTCAACAAGAGTTACAATCCGTTAGGCATCGGAGTCACCCTTTGGCGTGCCCCATGTCACATGACAATGCAGACAATGTCACCGTATCGATAGTAACTCATCCCCCAGTACGGTACGGAGGGGTACCTTAAGTATTGTAACTTCCAATAGCTACATCTTCACTACCGCTAACCCGAATGGCCTAATTCAAGAACTTATGGGTTCCTAGTAAGCTCAACTAAAGGATGAGATTATCCATTAATGTTTATTGTTCTTCCCAGATACCCATAACCAAGGAAACACACTACCCCCTGTGTTTTACACCGCAGTGGCACATGTACGCCACTTTTATAGTCCCTAGAGGTGGCCACACTCGGGTGCCGTCCGGTCCGTTAAGTCCGGTCCGTAAAACTGAGTGTGATATTCGTCCGCTAGTATCCGGTCCGCTATTTGCCATATTGCCATCTGCAAAATCCGGCTCTCATTTTTTCTTCACCGTTATTTGCCGTTAATTTAACGGATGACGTGTGCGGCGTCCGGTCCGTAACAAAATATCCGTTGATTAATAATTTTGGTCCGTTATTACCCATAGGTACTTACTTTCCAGCCACGGCAAGGTCAAGGCGAAGTTGCCAAGGGGTTTTCATTTTGCAGCAACTCGAATTATATTGGTTGCATGCTTGATAAATGTGTGTGGGCGTTTTCCAGGTCATGTATTCTGCGGTTTGTAATACATGGAGTGATTTGGAGAACTGAACAACTCACAAGCCGTGTGTAAAGTTCCAGTGTATGCATGCAATCCTTCACCACTTGCTACGGCCAGTACTGCTGCGTACCACACTCCTATTGCAAGTCTTCCCGGCCATTGCAGCAAGGGTTCGGCATAGTTGTAATACCAAACGCGGACACACAAACACCCACATCGCCTGAGCCAGGTGGCAAAAAGGGTTCACCTCTGAACACAGTTGAGCCACTCAACATACTTGGGAATGGGTGATACGTATCACATATAACGATGGGTTGCTGCGGCGGTACTCCACAGTTTCCACGCCAGGGCAGCGAGTGTAAAGCCCATCCACCAATTGCACTATTCGATTGGACACTAGAGGTGGCCACCCGGATCCGTTAATAGCGGACAGAGGTTAATTTCCGTTAATTTTCCATTAATTAACGGAAAATAACGAAAAAAGACAAAAATTAACCAAAAATTAGCGGATTTTTGGATTTTTTTGGGATTTTTGGGGTTTTTTCATACTTATAGTTTATGGAATTCGCTATTAGAGAGTATGTTTGTATTTTATTTCAACCTATGCATACTAGATTTTCAACTAGCCGCAGTTGTTGTGATTTTTGGGGTTTTTTTTTCGATTTTTTTGGATTTTTTTTCACTTTTTCTGAATTTTTCTCCCTTTTTCTTTAACGAAATTTAACGGACAGCTGATAAAAATTAACGAACCGGATTTAATGGACCGGATGGCACCTTTGAGTGGCCACCTCTATTGGACACATTTCTCACAGAAATTCTCTTCTATCTATATGATACCCTAGGTTCATCCACCATTCCAACATAGTACGTCGAAGTTCAACAGTTCAACATACATGAAAACGGGCAACGAATAGTACGAGTCATGATTTGTTATCTTCCATCTCTGCCTATCGCACCCTCGCTGCGGCGGTACTCCAGAAGTTTCCACGCCAAGGCAGCGACTGTAAAGTCTATCCACCAATCGCAGTACTTGTTGGGACGCATTTCTTGAATAAAATTTTTTTCTATCTATATGGTACCCAAAGTTCATCCACCACTCCAACATATTGGGAAATTATAGACTTAATAGATAACGAATATAATTATGAGATTTTATTTTATCTGAGGACCAGACTCCATCATAAGGGTATTTCCATAGTTTATGTTGGTAATGGTGGGAGTTAATTGGTAGGGATCTTAATGAAACTAAGTCATTTACTTTCTCCTTTCCCTTCCTTTTTCCTCTCTTCCTCTCTCCTCTCCTTTTGCTGGAGGTATGAAGCTGGCTATAATTATTCCACTTCCCTTTCATGATCTGTTAGCTTCCCCTCAGGGTAATATCCTCCACTATTACGACATTTCTGAACTTGGCGATGCACCTCCAAGCGAATCAGTGTCCGCAGAGCTCAACACACCCCTCCCAGCAAGAACATCATGTGCGTCTGGGACGCCTCGCTCAGCAACAAATGCTGCGAGGTCAACACCATCATCGCCGCCAACAGAGCCTGGCGCACACGTCCATTGCGTAAATAACCGAGGCAACATATATTCGA